AAAAACTTACCTTTTTTTAAGTAAAAATAGAAGATATTCATTATTTCTATCGTCTCAAACTCTAAATGTTAATGGTGATTATTGATTTGCATGGGTACAAAAAAAATTTGCTTACTATATTGTTGTATTTTGTCCATACGAGGCACCCGTTCCAGTTGTATGAAAATGAAGGTTTTTATGAAAGTTGAAATTCTCTTAGCCTAGGGCATGCGCATTGCGCAATGTAGGCTTTTCTTGAAAGTGAAAACTTTCAACTTTTCGGTTCGGACGTGAAATATTTCAGTGTCAGGTGAAATTGTAAGGGCCAGGTCTATAATCACGCATATAAGTCTCCTTTAACCAAAACCCACTTTATATCCAAATTAAGGCGGTTGTTATGGACGGACCCCACCCATTTCTAATGGAAAATAGTATTGAGTTAAAAATTATAAACATTAATGATATTGATAGATATGGTAGCTTGTAATGAATATCCTCTCTGCCTCTGGTAAACGCTTGAAGCTATTCGGTTCAAACTTTGCACAGTTAACATATATACCACATGTAACAAGCCAATTAAAAATGGGTCCAATCCAATGCCTCCGGGGGGTCACACCGAGGTGCTGTGCCACTTTTTTAAACGCTCTTTATGAGTTTATTTATTATACGAGGGAAAAAAGTATTAGATTTTAGCTCTCAAATGTCTGATTCTGAATTTTCTTTGACTTCAGCTTAGGTAATAGAAGCTGTAGAAGCAGTGAAAGTAGCGTGACAAATATTAAATATCTATCTTTACTTATGTGTATACGCGAGTAGGTATATCCGGGAAAAATGTGATTTCATAAAAAGTGTTATCTGTCAACCTTAGACCATATAGTATATGGTCTAAGCTGTCAACACAGATAAAATGCCAAACGTTTTTCCCGTCACAGAAAAAAAAACCTTTAATTCATGATCCCCTTCTCGACGCGACGGTCGGCGACGTGACGTGACGGGACGGTTAACGTGCGCAAATAGCTTTAATTAATTGTTTTTTATGTTGAACGTTTTTTAACAGTCCGTAACGTGACGGCACAGCAACAGCACGTACCAATGTGCGACAACACAGTCGCAATTTTTCATGATTGCACCTTTCACACGTCATCAGGGTCACGAGTCAGAACTCTATATAGGTAGTACTTATGTTAAATAACGCCACCAGAGAAGATAACTGCAAAGAAAGACATTCCACACTAATTAATTACACTTTCGGCGGTATTACTACTAGACTATGTACCTATACTATATTATACCACAGACAAGTATTTTAATCTGTGATTATACGTTATTTTGAAATTTATTAGGCACCTTAGCCTCCAACAATGTTGGGCGCTATTTGGTTTCGTTATAATCATTTCTGGTTTGGTTTATGGAAGGGCATTACTGCTCTAATTAGCAAATTCAGGTGCATTTGGTTTCAAGAAATCTCACTTTGCTGTGGGCAAGAACAGCGCTGTTTTTCATACCGAGGTTTTGGAAACCACACTATTGTGGTACCTAACTAGCAAACTTTAATTTTTACAAGTTGCATGATTTTCCAATTGGTTGTTAATCTAACATCACAACCTGATGTTGTTTTCATTAATTGCGTACGTACATACACCTGCAATGAACATATTTTTGTTTCTAGGTTGTTCGAGACAAAATGAAGTATACGGCACATGTCATTCAATGTGCAAACAATCTTGCGATGATCTAAAATCCGAAACAGTGTTTTGTCTGGCATCCTGTCGACATGGTTGTGGATGTGTTCCAGGATATCTAAGAAACGCCAATGGAGAATGCATTCCAGAACATTCATGTTAACGGCTTTAGTGTAAAAATTAGGTGTTAGGTTTCTAGTCAGTGAATAAAATACCCTTAAATAACCTAAAGTGTAGAATTTTCTTTTTGAACAAACTGCACATTTTATTCGTACAAGTTTTTATTGTATTGAAATGAGCAATAAGTAGGTAGGTAATAATATACAGGGTGTCCCTAAAAGGTCTGTACAACGCGCTACCATGGGTTCTTGGTATCAAAATAGGACGATTTAATCCAACTTACCTCTATCCAAAAGTGCTTCGGTAAGGCGCTATCTAGCGCCAAAGATTTAAAAAAAAATCGTTATTTTTATATTATCGGAAAATGGTTTTGCCGATTAAAATGAAATTCGGGATGTGAATGTCTAATGTAAAAAGGGTCTTTGTGATATCACCGTTTTGATTGTAGTTGCTATGTAGGTGGTAAAATACTGACCATCCACATCTGAAGAGGTCTAAAACTGTTGAACTACTATTTTGACAGTTCTGAATTTTTGGCCACTGAGAGACAGTTTACTTGCAAGCATTTTTTGTCTCTTGATGAATATCGCTATCTGTGATGGTTTACGAAAAAAAAAAAATTACGCATGATGAACATGCGATTGTTCCTCAAAAACCATAAGTGCAAGCAAGAAGCATGTGAGTATACTCTCTAACGCATTGGCGACCATTACCACGACAGTATCTAAACACATAAGCATATCAGATAACTCTGCGTTACTGTATTGAAAGGCCATATTACAATTTTAACAATGAAATTTTAAATCTTCAAGCAAAACGTAAATTGTTAAAGTTTAAGAAACAACAAACAAACGTTACGCCACTCTAAGGTTTCACAGCCATCTTCTGATTTTTTGAGGAACAATCGCATGTATGGTGCATGCCATTCATCATGCCTAAATTTTTTTTTTCACTACTAGCGTCTGATGACATGATTATTAACCTTTTTTCCACTTGTAAAGTAGGCTTTCTCGGCATTTGTTCAAAGTGGTTAATAATTTTTTATTATTAACTAGTAGTCAATAATGAGAACTGTCACGCTGTCACTTTTAGAAAACACAACCCGAAATTTCGCTCAATGAACGTTTAGACAAGTTCTCTAAAACGAATAATTGCCACCATTCGCAATTTCCAGAGAAATTACATACCTAAAATTATCACATTTTGAAAAAATTCGAACGAAATTACTCTTTGAAAAATCTCAATGACAGAACAAAATACGGCCTGTTTGACTTGTACTTCCACGTACTTGATTGACATGTTAAATTAAGAAACAAACAATTCTGTCCAACCGTTAACTCTCTTATCAATATAATATGTTAATTTAGAGGATTTCAAGTGCTAGTAGTGAAAAAAATAGTATATATACCACGGTAGAGAAGTCTATTATTGCCTTCGCACCTTACACCCCTCGGCGCAAGCGCCTCGAGATGTAATCTTGGTGCTCAGGCAATAATAGTGGACTTCTCTACCTTGATATATAATGTACTATTTTCGTCGACCTCTCCATAACAATATAAATTACTCCTTAGTGACGAGTACAATGATGAAGCTTATTAATCGTTAGCAACCATTAATGGTTAGCAACCAACCATTATACGTTAGCAACCATTAATCGTTAGCAACCACTTATACATAACAACCATTTTATTAAAGGGAAATGACAATTATATAACAATTCACTTTCAGCAACAGCTGAGAACTTCCATCCACCTAACCAACCATTTTAATCTCGGTTTCAATGTAGTGAGATCAGCAGCCAGTATGGTCGCCAAACGATCTCAGCAAAGCATATCCTGATATATGCATGTGTAGCTCCTCGGATAAGGTATTGTTAAGGTATTCAGTTACTTTACCTTCAACAGTGAGTAGTGAGTACGTCGACCACAGGGATGAACATTTCCATATCTTTCACTGTTAATACACGTACTTTAGTACAGTTGCAAAAGAATTAATTACATTATAATTTCACGTACCTTTTCAAGGTAAAATGTCAACGTGACATTTTCGGAAATATCTCCTTTCAAATTCATTGTATTCCATCAATTGCCGAACTGATCGAAACCGTTCCAATAAGTTTCTTTTGATTTGAGTGGATACCTATAATGTTAAAATCGTCTCCGCAGCAGAGCAAGCAACATAATCTTCCACTGCGATTACGAGGACTGACGGTACAGCATAAAATAACACATTACTATAGCAACGACAATAGCTGTACCTAATTTAGTGAAAAATCGTCGGAGCTCATAATTTCGTTTGTAATTTCTTGTAGTTGAATTTAAAATTACCTACCCCAGTGAAGTCGACGAAAAAACGTTGTATGCAATTCATGTATAAATCGGCGATTATTGGTTCGTTCGAATTTAGTCCACTCGCTGCGCTCGTGGACTAAACATCTCACTCAACAATAAAACGCCCCATTTATACACTCATTGCATAAATAACTATTTTCGTAAACCATCACAGATAGCGATATTCATCAAGAGACAAAAAATGCTTGCAAGTAAACTGTCTCTCAGTGTCCAAAAATTCAGAACTGTCAAAATAGTAGTTCAACAGTTTTAGACCTCTTCAGATGTGGATGGTCAGTATTTTACCACCTACATAGCAACTACAATCAAAACGATGATATCACTAAGACCCTTTTTACATTAGACATTCACATCCCGAATTTCATTTTAATCGGCAAAACCATTTTCCGATAAAATAAAAATAACGATTTTTTTTTTAATCTTTGGCGGTAGATAGCGCCTTACCGAAGCACTTTTGGGTAGAGGTAAGTTGGGATAAATCGTCCTATTTTGATACCAAGAACCTCTGGTAGCGCGTTGTACAGACCTTTTTAGGGACACCCTGTATACTTGATTTTACAACAAAATTTCCGCCTAACCATACGCAACCAACATTACTTACTTAGCATCTTATAGTCTAACTCAAGGTTCAGGTAAAGCCTAGTACTTACGGAATTAAATACTTAAGAATGTGCGTAAAATTTATTTTGTCGAAATAAAGTTAAAATTTTCCGGTTACTAAACGCAATCCATAATTATAAAAGTAACAAAAATGTGAATTACTAAGATAACTTTCTACCAGAAATGTTCATTTTGTGACGTGGAGACTAGGCTTAAGGTGTACATGTGAAATAAAGCTTTCCTATTGGTTGAAAGTGGTAAACACACATGTGGTTGGTAAAGATTAAAATTTTCAAATTCAGCAAAACCGTTATATTTTTATTGGTGTGTTGTATTAGTCGTCCTGTAATTTATTTAAAACTACTCGAAAACTACATTATTAACATGGAATCAAGGGTACGTACAACGGTTTTACTTGTACATTCTACCCCTAAAGTAGAATTAGATGCTGAAATTTACAAAATGTCGACATAGATAACTCTGATCAATTTTAAAATGTTACTAAACATGAACTTTTTAGTTTGACATATCTGCTGGTGAGCTGAAAATGAAACTTGAAGCGAAATGCATCAAAGAGGAGAAAGTCGAAGACATCCCTAAACTCACATTGGCACCGTTTACGAATAACACGAAGTTATTTTTCGAAAATAGTCTCATCGGAACCACATCCATTCAACAGCTAATTATCGAAAACCCCACAACCCAAGATGTGAAGGTTGCTATAAAGAATATGCCACCGAGCGAAAAACGAGTGCAACTGTCGTGGGAAGTACAAAATATACCTGCCTGTGCTGCTGTCTTATGGGAAATTACGTGGATGCCAGACATTGTTGATAGTTGGAGGCACACGTTTAGTTTCCAATTTGGCCGATGTTTAAAAAAAGATCTTCCCGTTACTTTTAAATCTGTTGCAAATAAGGTAAGCCTGATGGTGTGTTTGCTTTTTGATAATAATTATATTGCGATTATGAGTCGCTTATTAAAATGCTGGTTTTATCTCATATTGCTATCCTAAGTATACATTTGTATACTATAAAAGAATATTATTTGTGATATCCATAGATTTAGGTACCTACATTTTATACCCACATAATTTTTTTATATTCTTCGTACACAAATTTAATCATTTTGAGACATGAGTGCACTGATGTATTGTATGGTCTAAGTACGGAAAAGTAAATTAGCCTACTGTAAGCCTTCCCTCAATTTTGATGTTTGCCCACTCTCGGTTTGATGAAGGATGAAGGGTTTATTCGGGTTTATTATACTTAATATAATGTTTGAACTAAACTAGACCTTCAAAAGCTAGTTTTAGAAAATCTATTGTACCTGTATATCATAATTTTATTTTGTTGATAAGCAAATTTGAAATAAATTTTTGAGTAAAAAGGTGCAGTGGCTGACAGTCTTGTTTCTGATGTTGGCTTTGTCTTAATAGCTGACAATGAATATTGTTATACAGTTCATTTCAGACAATTAATAATAATAATATCTATTTACCCAACAGCATAAGACCAATAACAGAGCAAAGCTTCATAAGCTATAACATGCTAACCATAATAGGTACTTAAGAAAAATTCAGTATGTAGTTAATTAAATCTAATTAATTTTAATACAATTGACAAAAACAAAAAATTTGAAAATATCAAAAACAATGTAATGAGGTACAAATACATAATAATAATAATAATAATAATAATAATAATAATTTAAAAAATTACATGTCCTAGCACAGTTAAAAAACACAAAACTCCTTCTTCACAGAAGCACACCACGTTATCACAACCCACTCGTACTCAACCCAAACGCAACAACCTTAACAGCACCACAGGCTCACAAAATACTGTAATGGCTCCACCAATAACCCAAGCAACCACACAAATACAACCTCAAGAACAAAGAAACACAATAAATACAAGTAACGCAACATTCACTACAAAGACAGATCCACCCAATAAAGTTACACGCCCTAGCATAGTTAAAAAACACAATACTCCTTCTTCTCAGAAACAATCCACTCGTATACAACCGAAGCGCAAAAACCTTAACAGCACCACACAAAATACTGCAATATCTCCACCAAAAACCCAAGCAACCACACAAATACAATTTCAAGAACAAAGAAACACCATAAATACAAGTAAGACAACATGCACCACAAAGACAGGTCCACCCAATAAAATTACATGTCCTAGCACAGTTAAAAAACACAAAACTCCTTCTTCACAGAAGCACACCACGTTATCACAACCCACTCGTACTCAACTCAAACGCAACAACCTTAACAGCACTACAGGCTCACAAAATACTGTAATGTCTCCACCAATAACCCAAGCAACCACACAAATACAACCTCAAGAACAAAGAAACACCATAAATACAAGTAAGGCAACATGCACCACAAACACAGGTCCACCCAATAAAATTACACGTCCTACCACAGCTAAAAAACACAAAACTCCTTCACAGAAACACACCACGTTATCACAACCCACTCGTATTCAACCCAAACGCAAAGCCAAAGAAACACTTACACAATAAACTCCATTTAATAAAATTACAGGAATTATTATAATGATTTTGTTTGTTTGTTTTGTTTTCCTCTTTCCTGATAGCGTTGGCTATTGTGCCCATCAATAGCTATGTTGGTAAGTATGAAATACATACTATCTCTAGATTTTCAATGTGAGGGTGTGAATTTTTATTTTATTTATTTATTTCTTTTATTTTTTTTAGGACCCTACATAACTTCACCAGACACAGACACTAATCGTTACTTGATTTTAATCCGTGCGATTAGTTAACCAGGCTAGACCTGAGTTCTCACAAGAAACACCGACCATAATAATAATAATATCCGTTTATTGAAAAAAAAACAGTGAACAAAAAAGCAGGTGCAGTAAAAAAAAAGAAAAAAGACATAGAGGAAATGCTCACCGTTAAGTTCAAAAGGGCGAAGTTCAGATTGGTAGTTAAAAACTCTACCATCTGTTCTTCCACTTAACCCTTGCTTATTTAAACGAAGTTCCTAGTCAGCCAATGATCGATATCACTTATGTGTATGAGATTAAAACTAAAAAAAGAAAAGGGCTTAGAGAGACCTATGTTGTTTTTCTAGCAGTGACATCCGCATATATTTTTTAAAATTTTTCATTGTAGAGGATTTTATATGAGATGAGAGTGAGTTATATATCTTCGGGACGTAATAGCTAAAAGATCTTTTAAATAAAGTTGTTTTATGAATTGGGATTGAGATGAACATTCTACTTCTTGTATTTAAATTATGAATATTAGTTCTAAATTTGATTCTATCGTGCAGATACCTAGGAGTTTTGTTACAAATGATTCTATGGATAAAACAAGCTGTATGATAATTTCTCAAATTAGACATATTTAACCATTTAATGTCATTTAGTTTGTGTGATATTCGGTGAAATTCTTAGCAGATTCTAAGATGTGACTTATCGAGTCATTGTGGATATCAACTAAATCGCAGATAAGGTTGTATCTAGAGCACATTAAATGAACAGGAGCTCTAGGTAGTAGATTTGTACGAGATTGGGAGACATAAAATGCATCAAACTGTTTCGTCAGATAATAGGGCCACCTAATAATACTATTGTTGTTTACTAAATGTATATTGGCTTGGCCGTCAATAACTATTATTATTATTACCTCAATATATATCCCTTTTTATTTGGCGAGATGTGAAAAATTTGTTAAATATATAATTTTATGTGACATTACAATCTATCTGATCGCATATTTGTTTTTCAAATACAATGTCTATGTTTTTTAAGATATTGGAAAAGAGCAATTTTTTGTACAACATGGATTTTTTAACATTTCTATTTAGCGTCGCTTTTTTATGATCGTGATGTTTGAGGGTAAGGTTGTGAAACCCGGTCCGAGAGAATTCCATAAAATCCGAATTAAAGTTTCAGAATCTGCATATCATATGGTTTACCAGATCAAAGAAGATAGCGTCTAGAAATCCCTGGAAAGTTTTTTAGTTTTTGAAATATTTTGAAAAAATGGGATTTCTTCATTTTACAATTTTTTTCTGTCGTTAATAATAATAATAATAATAATAATATTATTTGTTTTGTTTTCCTGTTTCCTGATAGCGTTGGCTATTGTGGCCATCAATAGCTATGTTGGTAAGTATGAATTACATACTATCCCTAGATTTCCAATGTGCGTGTGTGAACTTTTATTTTATTTTTTCTTTTTTTTTAGGACCCTACATAACTTCACCAGACACAGACACTAATCGTTACTTGATTTTAATCCGTGCGATTAGTTAACCAGGCTAGACCTGAGTTCTGACAAGAAACACCGACCATAATAATAATAATCATTTAAAAATAAAATTAGTATTTGACCTAGAGTAAAACCAACGACCACTTTTAAGTTTTAATGCTTTTTAAGGTGGCGTTGTTAATTTTATTACTTCGACGTTTCGTTTTTACAGAATCATCATCAATTTCTGTTACAGACCTGTACAAAGATAATAAATAAATAATAAGTTGGAGAATTAACGGTTTATGTCATGAATGTATTTAGTAGCAATCGAATGTGTGAATTGATACAACAAATTAATAGAAAAAACAAATCAAATTAAATTAACAGAGGATATAAGAATTAAAATACAACAAGAAACGAATTTGAATAACGCAACAAAATGTAGAGCATGCATGTTCTATTGCCCTATTTTAATAAATATATATTCATCCTGTAAGACAAACAAAGTGTATAGGACAAGTCAATTAAACACAAAAGACAAACATTTGACATTTAACATTTAACTGATGAAATCTTCCACAGAATACAATAAATTTGCCAACAGGAAGATTTTGAGTTGCCGTGTCAAGGTATGCAGTTTCTGCGCGTTCTTGATTTTGGACGGAAGTTTATTGAACATTTTTGCCCCTATTATATGTGGGCTGGCTTTGTTAATATTCGTTCTTGCAAACGGTATCCTGAGGTTACTTGTAGCTCTCGTTTCATGTTCGTGTATGTCACAGTTACGTTTAAGGTTGTCTTTACGCAGGAATACAAATTTACACACCTCGAGTATATAGAGGCACGGTAGAGCAGGGTGAAAAGTGGTTTTGGTTTTGATCCGTAACCATCTTCATGGTTGTTGAGGGTGCCAAAAGTTTAAAACAGCCATAACGGCTTGAAACATTTTTTTAAAATTTTTTTCGCATACACTGGCCAAAATGGCTTAAAAAACTCTACAAAAAAGTTCATTACAATTTTTTTGTGAGTTCCTTTGTTTTTGAGATGTTTTGAATTGAAAAGTTCAACTATTTATTTTATTTTTCTAAATTTGCATTTTTCTCTAAAAGTAAGCATCCGATTAAAAAATGTTAATTACAAAAAAAGATGTGTCTTGATGAGATCTACAAAAAGGCTTCTACACTTTTTTGCGTCGGGTTGAAAATAAAGGCGCTAAATGGCATTCTCTAAATGTTATACTTCGTTATACTATGACCAAAGGTAATTGCAATGACTATTAAAAGTAGTCGGAAAGTCAAGTCGGGAGATTACCTGATAACTATTTAAGTTAGCAATTGCTTACTGATCGTACAACGACAGAATTCTCACTGTAATATGCTATTTTTTTCAGAAACAAGTAAATCCAAAAAATCGTTCATCAGTCAAAGTACCGACACGCCATTCGTCAGTGACTGCTCCTCACTGTTCGATTAATAATAAAAAAGTAAATGGATCAAGTTATGTTACAAGTATTTCTAAGAAAAGTACCGTGCGTGCCCAAAAAGAAAATATTCCGAAGGTAGTGTATAGCAATTTGAACGAGGATGATGTGTTTCTACCATCCAAATATACAAGTTTTACATTGGAATCTTTTAATTCTGAAATACGCAGAGAAACCTACACTGTTAAAGAACGACAGTGTAGTAACGATCACAACATTAGTGTTGATAGTATAGATATGTGTTTGGAAAATAATAAATATTATGGAACTGCTTCAGATACGCTCGCTTTGAAAGTGAAGGATCTTGTTTTTAGTCCTCTGGGTGATTCAAAATATTTAGCAAATCTTAGTACAGCTACTTATACTAAAGAAAATCGTTTGAACTCTGCTTCAAGTTTAAGTGAGCTGGGACAACGTATTTATTCAACATCTAGTATAGAAGAAGAATTGCACAACATTAGCACCGCTACATATACTAAAGACTCTTTACATTCAAAATACAATCCCATAGAAGATTTGCACAATATTAGTTCAGGGACATATACAAAGGAAAGGCAACCAGCATTTAGCTTGAACGACAGCAACTTAACAAATATCAGTACTGCTACGTACACCAAAGAAAAATATTTATATTCCATTAGCCCAAATGCTGACAGTTTGAAAGGGATCAGTTCGGAAACGTACACTAAAGAAGCTTTGAGCACTGAGAAGTCAAAGGTAATGAATGGAATCATAAAACAGAGTTCCCCAATTTGCACGAAGAAAAGCGTGTGGTTTTCGGAAAGTTTGCTTGGGTCGCACGAAAATGATAATATTCCTTCTGGATTTAATTTCTCTCCAATATCATTTGATACTCCAAACGTACACCAAAAAAACATGTCTGGGATGGGCGTTCGTACAATTATTGAAGCAAATCTGTGGGGATGTGAAAATGTATCGGGTTATATCACAAACGACGCTCTCATTACTAAACCATTGAAGCGCAAGTCTGAGTTGAATTTTGAGATTTCTCCCGCGAAAAGAGTGCACATTAACGGTCAACTATCCAATGAGCCACATAACTTAAATTGGAATACATCGAAGCCGCCTCGTGTGAAAGTGAAGAGTGATGGTTTCTACTTTGATCCGTATATGGTCCAATCTGTTTATCAAGATGAAGCATGGATGGAACGTCAAGAGGGTATCTTTAAGAATTGGCTAAATGCATTACTGGCGCCTCCTAGCGAATTAGATGTAAATGTAGAGGTAAATGTTGCTAAAATTTGGCAAGAGTCTAAACAAAAAGGGGAATCTGCACCGACACCACTTTCAAAGGAAAGTGTTTCAAGTACATATCACACAAATCATCGCTTAGACGCACTTAGAAAATCTGCTTCTGAGTTATTCCGTAGTCAGGCAGTAGGCAAAGTCATTGCGACCACATATCAAATTATTGAAAATCAAAAGTTGAGCATTAGACAAGATAAGAACATACATTTAAATTTGGGCCTCCAATCCCAAATTACGCTTGTTTTGTTGAACTATAATCCTCTGTGGCTAAGAATTGGATTAGAGACACTATTTAACACAATTATCCCCATATCTTCTAATTCTGACGTAATGGGTTTGCATAATTATATCATGCAAAACCTATTTAAAAGCTCCTTCCTACTACAGAAATTCAAATCTGCTCATTCCCCAAAATATGTTGCGGCTATACAGAAATTTATACTGAAAAAACTTTTCGCGTTAGTTTACTTTCTGGATGTCGCAAAAACCACTACCTTGATTCCCCATGATCCGTGCCTATTTTCCAAAACCTCGCCGATAAAAGAAAGTAGAGAAGTGGTCCTGACATTCTCGCGCGAGTTACTATCGTCAGTAGGCGACATTACTAAAGTGCTTCGATTAAACGGATACATTCTAAATCACAAACAGAAGTACATTCACGAGTTCGATTACTGTGTTAACCATTTGGGAGCGGATTTGCGAGATGGCGTTCGTTTGACGCGCGTCATGGAATTAATACTTTTGAAAACGGGTTTAACGGATTTGCTCAGAGTGCCCGCCGTTTCTCGATTACAAAAAATTCACAATATGAAGGGTGTATTTGATGCGCTAACCGATGCAGGATTTGAAATACTGGGGGACATATCGCCGAAAGATATCGTAGATGGCCATCACGAAAAAACCTTGTCGTTTCTTTGGCAAATCATTTACAAGTTTCAAGCTCCAGTTATGGTTAAAGCGGCGAATACAATTATTAAATGGTGGAGAAGTTTACAGATTGTAGTGAAACGCCGAATAATACAGAAACGAAGACATCGTCTGGACACGGCTGCAATATGCATCCAAACATGGTACAGACGCCTTACACTGGCATGGAAGATAGAGCAGTTGGTCCCCGTAGTGAAACAAATTTTACTGGAAAGGCTTTGTAATAATTCTGCTTTAAAGATACAGGC